ATCAGTATATATTAATTGTTTTTTTTTTTTTTTTTTTTTTTTTTTACCTGAGCACCTCGAAGAACTGCTTCAGCACACTTCCTGCTGACAAGTACCTCCTTAGGAGGCTTGTCAGGCGTATAACCATAGTCAATCACATGTGGTCCACACCCCTTAACAAATACAACATAATCTAACCCGGGTATGTCACACTTTGAGATGAGCCCATTTTTTACTCGTGATTGATTCTCAGACACATCCAAGCTACCACCGGCATCAGTTTCACTTGAATTTACGCCTTCAATACCATTTCCAGGTCCCAAATTTATAATTATCTTCTGCAGCTTCTCCATTACAGAATCACTCGTGCACTTGAGCGTATTCACTCGGATACAAGAGTAGCAGGACGGACGCCTAATCAAATCATAAAAGCATAAAGACAACGAATGCTAATAACAACAAACCATCTAAGGTGACCAAGATGCTAAAAAAATAAAATAAAAAATTATTATAAATTAGATTTATCAGGCACATGAAAACAAAACAATCTAATCAAGACAAGACCATAGCAAAAAATAAAGGGTACTGAGTGTATCTGAAATCAGAGAAGAATACGTTAAGGCCTCGGAGATTTTAGCAAAATGTAGAGGCCCGTATGCTTTAACGAAGTAGTCTTCTACTTCAGGGTTCCAGCGCAATCTGGGGCTATAACAGTATCGCTCCGATGCATCCATCGGTACCTACGAATCAAAGGAAAACAAGAAGCACGCATATATAGTCATGGAAATATTTGGGTAAGCCAAGAGACTGAAATAAAGGGAACCTGGGGCATATGGTTTTGGAGAGTGGCGAAAGTTTTGTTGATGCGTTTGAGCAGATCCCTCCCTCTCTTCATTCAAAGAGGAGGAACAATGAGGCGGAAGAATGTCGACACGATGACTGACCGGGGAATTGTGACCTGGCTACGAAAATGCGAAAGCCCAATTGCAAAGCCCGAGTTTCATGGCCCGTTTGAGGTTGGGGCAGTCTATAGATACTGTCGCCTGGGGAAAATGCATTTTCAACCATAGTTGATGCAAGTGAACGAACCGCGATACGCGCGGGTTTTCTATCATTTCATGAAATTTTTTATCGAGAAATTATTATTTGTTTTTACAGAAGGAAATACATTGAAAATCTCAAAAAAAAAAAAAAAAAAGCCAACACTTTGACCACTTTGTGCTTTGGGCGCTTAAACAGTGAAGCGGGCACTTCACTCCCATTTCACTGAAGTCTGGCGCTTCAGTAATTACTAAAGCACCAGAGGTGCGAACCGCTCCGCTTTACCGCTTAAGCGATTAAAGCAGACGCTCTTGACAACATTGATATATGCATATTTTATGTTCTCCAATTTTTCATTTTAGGGATAGAAAATGTGTATATGTAGACAAATTTAACTGATTCACTAATGAAATTACTAAAAAAGTATAATTTCATAATTGAGAGACCAAAAAAGTATATAAAAAAAATCTTGAGATTAAACTTATGTAAAATTCTAAAGTTAAGAGACCAAAATTGACATTTAACTTAAAAGTTTTTATGAGACAAAATATTCTAGAAGCTTCAAATGTACTCAACCTTAACTCTAAAAGGAAGAAAAAAAAAAAAAAGAGAGAAAGTTAGATTTGGGATGTTAGACATACAAGTTTGGCAAAAAAATTAAAAAACTTTTAAATGGATGATCTTTTTACTCTTTTGTCTCTTTTGTAGAGACTAGATACTTAGATCTACAATTTTAAAGAATAAAAAAAAAACAAAAAAAAGTTAGACCTGGCATGTATAACATGTAAATTTGGTTAAAAGAATAAAAAAACTTTTAAAAAAATGATTTCCTTACCTTTTTGTCTCCTTAATAGGAACTAAATTTTAATAGATGTTGAAATTTGAGATTGGTGGTGATCCCTTGTTGCTTTCCTGAAGGAAAATTTAGGAGAATTTTTTTAAAAAAAACTTCAAAAAAATACAAGGCAAAACAAATTAGATTAATGTTTTGAAGGCAACAACAATTATTTGTGTTAACCATATATATTTATGTCAACACTTGTGTTGACACAAATAATAAGAAATTATTCAACCCCCTGAAAAAAACTATTTGCGTCAACCATATTTATTTGTGTCAATACAAATGTTGACACAAACAGTAGGAAACTATTCACTTAATTACTTTTTACCATTCTTATATTTTTTGAAACATTGACTGTAATGGATTAGATTGTTTTAGACTTCTGACTATTTGCATCAACAATACTTATACTAATAGTTTGTAGTTGATGTTAGCAAATTTTTTAGTGACAAACTTTTTTTTATGAATAATGTTGACACAAAAAATATATATTTACATTAATATTTCATGACTAATGCTTAAAACATTGATGTTTATATAATACATTCTTATAGTTCATGAGGCATGTTGTTGTGAATAAACAACTCACTTTTCATAATAATCTGTTAATAGTACCAACATAATGTTTGTAATATGTTTGGCTGATAGTTAGTGACTACACTATTTCAATGAGCCTTCCCTCTCACCATATCCCTCTATTTCCCTCAAACTAAATGCGTAAAAAGTTAAGTTTAATGTGGATATAACCAAATGTATTGAAAAAAACTCCAAGAAAGGGAATATGAGAAATGGAAAAAGACATAATATTTCTATGCTTCCATAAATAAAAGTTGGGTTATATTATAAGCAAGATAGAGAGTATTCACCCATACCATCAATTGAAATTTTAATAGAGAAAAAAAAAACATCTCATGGACATATATATGTACAAAAAAGAATTATACATCCCAAGTTTTGGTATGATTATAATTCTAAAATTATCTATAATAAAATTCTCTAACACCTCATAGTAAACCAACTATATTGTAATCATATATGCTATACACTTGTTCAATTTGGGCAAAAACATAGTTGCACATTGGCTCAGTATCTAATAACCATGACTCTAGATCCTAGTATACTAAAGAATCCCCCTACTTCTTTTGATTAGTACATGAATAGTGGAAGAAATTGATTGATGAACTAGTGGAAAATACACCATCATGTATGCAATTTTCTGAATGATGTTCATGTTTTGAGTCTTCAATCTCTATTACTAGAGGAGGTTTGTGTTTGGTTTGTGGTTCCATTCCAATGAGCTCTTGGACAAGCTCCTTGAAGCTGGAGCTATCTATGATGTACACTTTTGGCCGTAAAACCTTTATTACATTGTGGAGTTGCTTCTCATTCTTGTTGCATGTTTCTTCAATGGTTCTTGACATGCTTTCTTCTCCATTTTTTTAGGGAATTCAACTAACTCAACAATGATATATATCAGAGAGAGATATATAATATAAATTGAGGTAGAAACCAAATTAGAGCATCTAAAGAACAGCAGGCAAAGATGCTTGCAATTAGGTTAATTTTGTACAAAGCTTCATAATAAAAGTCCTCACCCACCAATACTAACCTTATATCTCTATATCCTTCTAATAATAAAATTGATTAATTTTATAATTTGCCAAGTTTTGTACCTACCTAACATGAAAGATATAGATGCGTGGTCATGTAGTCAATCTATGAGCTTTTTTTGTTTAAGGGATTACAGTAAATAATAAAATATAGAATAAACTAAAAACACATTAAATATCTACATAATATACAACTTTTTGTCATGTTATGCTCAGTTATTTTCCAGTTAGTTCTATCAAAGAAGTTTTTTTTTTTTTTTTTTTTTTTTTTTTTTCAGTTAGGTGAAATTTAAAGAGGTAATGCATTCCATTGATTCCCTTTTAATTTTAATATTAGGACCTCTAGCATGTTATGCTCAAGCAATCGTTATAAATGACTATTATTTGAATAATTTGCAATTTAGGATATACAAAAAGAAGACAACAAAAGAAAAATACAATATCAATGAAATTAGCTAAGAGCATATATGATTTCCGATCTAATTTAGTTTAGTGATAATTTTTTTATTTAATAAAAATAAAAATTCAATTTAGTCATGTAATGTGATTGAATGGATTAAAAAATAAAATAGATTCGTTTCCTTTTATACAACTTCCAAACTCTTAAAAAAAAGAAAAAAAAGAAAAAAAAAAGAGCAATGGTGATTTATTTCTATTAGGAATAGAATTTTATAATGAAAAATATCATAAAATTTCATTAATTGGGAATTAAGTCTCCCAAGAAAGAGTACATACATGATCTCAAACAAAAAGTTTGAGGTTGCTCATGGTGTGCAATATTATGGGCTAGGCTATTGGCTGTTCTCTTGACAGTGAAAATATGAAAGATTTATTTTGAAAACACATTTTTTATCAAATGAAAATCAAATAACTTAACTAATAACAGTGGTGGTTTTATACTTGAAAACAACATAACGCAGGGAAGCATTTATCTATTCAAAAGCATTAGTTAGTTGAATGTTTAAATCCCTATACATTAAATCCAACTAATTTTAAAGCTGTTGGAAAACTATGCTCAATTTTAGGAATTGAGAAAATTCCAAATAAGTTGGTTTTCATAAACTAAAAACCATTTAACATTAACACCTCAAGTTTAGTTTACAAAATATGTCTAGTTTTAGTCTAATTTTACCAAATATATATAGAGTAAAGTTTCTTATAAAATATTCTAAATGAACATTTAAAGATGAGTAAAGATATATAGTTATTGTTAGAGTTTACAAACTTGTCTAGCTAAGTTCAGGCTTTGGAGCTATCAACTTAGTTAACGGAAGTACTCCTATTGTACTTAGGTCCTTATACTCCATTAAACTTAGCTAACTTGCAATATGTTAAATTGATTTGCAAGCTAATAAGCTTGTAAGTGGATGTCACTAACCATTCTATAACTAAAAAATTTTAATCATTTAGTGAACATATATAAGCAATACACCAAGTTTAAAACATGAGAGAATCAATTCTTAACAATTTTTACCTAGCAAAATAGTTTGGGGATCTGATTAGGCTAATCAATAGATTGGTGCAAATAATGGCAAACAAATGGTGTTTTTTGTCAATGGTACGACCAAACACGAATACAAACTAAACACATGTGAAAGTGATGCTAGCAAGCCTGAGATGAGATTAACATTGAACAACATCTTTATAATAAGAGAGTCTGTTAAGTTGTATAGTTTACAACATGTGCAAACATAATTACTATGCCTTTGGGCTCTGTAGATGTTTTGCTGGCAAAGTGATATAATAATGTTAAGAAAGAGGTTCACACTATTGAAGCAGTAACATAATGTTAGGGAAGGATAAGTATCTAACAAAGTAGTAGAATACTGATAGAGAAGGGTAAACATTTGGCAAAGCAATAGGATATTGTTAAGGAAGCTAGGGAAGGATGAGGATTTGGCAAAGTAAAGACATATTGCTAGAAAAGAGTTCATTGATGTTGCAGTATGACATCGTTAGGAAAAAATGATATTTGGGTAAAGCACAACGCTAGGAAAATGTGATGTATGAGTGAAACACTTCTTTAATGATCACTTACAAATATATACAAGTATTCTAAGATGAATATAAAAAATACACTTTTTTTATATGTTTTTCTCTGTTCATGAACAAAGAATGTGAATGTACAAATATTACATCTTACAAACATTACATGATTTTTATAGTACACTTTACAATTTGGCTCATCATTTTCAACACACATGAAAAGGAACATGAAAGTGTGGTTGGAGAAGAAGAAACAAACATTGTGGGAAGTTTGGCTAAGAAATTAGCTAGCTTTTTGCATAATTGGCTAAATGAAGCATAGCCAAAGCCTACCACTAGCTAACAACTCTTCAAGCTAAGATCCATAAGCCCTCAAAATCTTAAACTCAAGTTGTTAGTAGTGGTAGGGACTTGAGATGTTACAATCTTCCCCACTTAAACGCTTGATGTCCTTATTAAGCTCAAGGAGGCCCACTAGGCCATAAGTACAAGATCCACCTCAAATAATGTGAGGTTCACACTACCACCAATCGTGATAGTCAATATGGCCCTACACCTATGAGAGATAACTATTCTAATACCAACTGCAATGATAGGGGCAAAAGCCCACCACTAGCTCAACAACTCTTCAAACCAAGGTCCACGAGCCTTTAAAAGTTTAAGGTCAGGTTGTTAGTAGTGGTTAGTCTCTACATTTGTATATTAAACTCACTCATAAATCCCAATTGATATGGGATTTAGGGTGTTACACATTACAAGGCTTAATCAAAAGTAAAATTTTAAGAGTTAAATTAGAATGACCATTTAGAGGTAAGACAATTGTCATGGGAGGTGATTTTCGTTAATGTTTACTTATTATCAAGAAAGCAACAAGAAGTGAAGTGGTAAATGAATCAGTTTGTAATTCTTTTTTGTTGATGAATTGTCAAATATTAAACCTTGAAAGAACATGAGGCTACTTTCAAATTAGTTAACTGACATTCAAAAAGTAGAAGTCTAACAATTTTCCAAATGGAGTTTGAGTATAGGTGATGGTATAGCACTAGATGTACAATGTGAAGATGCTGAAGAAGGACACAAGATTGAAGAATATTACAAACTAATAGCATAATTAGAATAGTAACTATCTTGAAATTCCACTATTACATGAGTAGTAAATATCTTGAAAGTATATTAATATGATTTCTATATTAGCTAACTATGGTGAAACAAGATACCTTAGAATCTCAAATCATGGTATCATTGAAATCAATTTACCATTTTAATTAATTTATGTAATTAGTTAACTCAAATCTTTTAATTTTAATTGTTCAAATAAAATTAAAATTAGTTTATTTTAGTACTTAATTAATACACAATTTTTGTAAGATAATACTTAACTTTCATCATTACATTATTCAGAGTAACTAATATTTCAATTTAAATTATATAAAATATTTTTAAAACTCCTCTCCAAAATCTTCTTAACAGTCATCACATGGGTTTTTTGGATTAAATGTGAATTTTTCTTCATCCAAAAGATGATACATCACAAGCAATATATAGGAGTATCTCCCCCTTGGAAAACATACAAATATACATACAGAAAGAAATAGATTAAATGTTAATTTTGGTCTCTCAACTTTAAGGTTTTGTATAATTTTTCTCTTTTAACTATTTTATATACTTTTTAATCCCTCAACTGTGAAAAGTATACTCTTTTAATCTGTCCATCAATTAGAGTTTTAAGTTTATTTAAATATACACATTTTAATCTTTAAACTTTTAAGTTAAGGGATGAAAAATGTGTATATTCAGATATATTTAACAAATTAACTAATGTAAGAACTATAAAAATACATGTTTTATAGTTGAGGAACCAAAATAGTGTATAAAAAATTGAAAAACAAAAAATGTATAAAACCCTAAAGTTAAGAAATTAAAATTGACATTTAATCAAAGAGATACAGGGCTAGTTCTTCACAATAGCCTCTGAGTCCCCATTTCAGTGCGGTAGCTTCGGAGAGGTGAGATGACTCTGGTCTTCCCTCCTTTGGGAAATACAGTTTTCTAGTCAATAGTCATCACCCTTTGTTTCTGTTGGGCCGGGCCGTAAAGGAAAAAGGAGTTGAGGACACCTTGTATGGTTGTATATTTATCACTGCCTCACATAATATGTGACGGAGGTAATTTCTGCCCCCTTTATTTATATATTTATTTTTTTGAAAAACCGTTATTATAGAGGAAAAATCAAATGAGAGCTTAAAAAAAATTCAGACCATGGCCTTTAATTTCATGGCTGCCTCTCTTCACCCAAAACCCACTTCCTTTCCTCCCGCAACACCATGTCTGATTCCCAGACACAAGCACTTGTTAAGGTCCTTCTCTTCTTCCTCATCGGCTTCTTCTCTTTCTTGTTGCAGAACATACGCCCGATCGGAGAGAACAGAAGGTGGAATTAAAGAAGAGGACCCTCCTGCTGCTTTCTCCGGTATGTGCAAAAATGTTTTCCTTTTCATTGGAGATTGGAGATGGTGAGGAATGCATGTTTGTTGGGAATTTTGGAATTCCTTGCTTCGGATGTGATTTAGAGATAGTATGTATAATTTATATAATTATATTAGACAGGTTAATGTAAATTTCATCTTCATAAATATTTTTAGTTAATTGAATTTGATTTCTAATTGTTCCTAAACAGAAAGCAACTAATTACAGTCTGGGTATCGTATGTTTAGCCTTAGGAACACTCGGGGAGTTTTCACTGTCAAATGAATTCAAAATGATTTCAAGGTTCTGTGCTAACTGGAACAGTTCGGGATGGATGTTTGAGTGTGAATGTGATTGGTATATAAATAATTGTCATAGCCAACCAACTTAAGGAGCTTTTGTTGGCCTGTTCATCTTTACCCAAAGAGTTAGTTAGCTTAATGACTAAAAATTGAAGGTTTTGTAACTTACCAGCTACAAATCACTTGTATGATGCTAGGTGTTTATTGTCATGTCTGTCATTCTAACCTACCGGTACTTGTTTGTGGAAAAAAAATGTTTTATTTATCCTAGTGTTTCTTTGAAAATGGTTAGAAATAGAATTTCTGTTCCAGTTCTTAATTTATTGACGTAGGATATTTGGGGAGTTATGTTGAAATTTGATTATTGACTTATAATTATGCTCTTAACATTTTTTTGAAGGGTCTTTGTCTTCAACACGTACACAGCTGGATCTGTTGGAAGAACTCACTTCCGCTAGCTCGACAAATGATGATGGTAGGTGGATACTATCCTGCATAAGAGCAAAAGCATTACACATCTCTTGCTAAGAAGAAAAGACTGGATCAAAGATCAAATCCTCTGAATGAAATTAACCTAATCTTCCTTTGATTAACAGGCTATCAGAGTGATGGTAGCTCGCAGAAACTCACTATAAGGGAGCAGCTCGTGCAGTTGGCGGGGGATAGCGATGATGATTTCAGTATCCCATTGGGAAAGAATTTGAAGAAGGTTGGTGCTAAGCTTTTATCTATCTCGCAGAGGAGAAACATCAAGAGACAAGCTTACTTAAATGAAGTTTCTGGGAGGAATGATTCAGTTTTCTTTGCCACCATTGGAGGGTTTGTAATTCTTCCACCTTTTATAATACTAGGGATTGCTATATTAACTGGCTATGTGCAGCTCTTTCCATGATATATTTTGAAATTATAATAGCGAAATCATAGTCCATTATACCAATCTTGGCATCGCATTTGGGTTTGCATTCTATCTGCTTCCTTTTTCTCCCCTGGTCAAATCAATTGTTGAATTATCTTCATATGTGTTTGATTCAAAGGCATTTCTGCTAGGCTTGGTGGTTATTTATTTTTTCTAATCAGCACTTAGTAGTTGAATATTTCTCAATTAGGGTGTTCATGTTCTTGTAAATGAGTTTCCTGGAATGGATCCAGCATTAGGGGCAAAAGTTAAAATTTTTGTTCATGGGTAGTTTCTAAATATTTCTATTATTTATTCAAAGATGCACTTGGGGGCAGAATTTTAGCTTTGTCTCCATTGAATCTTATGTAATGTTTGAGCAAAGGAAAATGCTAGGGCAGACGACCCTATCAGTCCGACCAAAAGCTGATGTTAACGTGACACTTTATTATATAAGAATAGTAAGCAGCCTAAAAAGGAACATACATTCAAGTTGTATGTATCATAAAAAATGAAGCTAGTCTATAGCACTAATTACAGTGGAACGTATGCCCATAACGAATGAGTCAATTACGATTAAAGGAACCCAACTGCAACTAAAGATTGTTAAGCTAATAGCTATAGGCACCATTAAGAGAGCTACTAAGGTAGAGCAGCCACTCATATGAGCATCTTTAGCTATTAGGTCACCTTTTTATCATGACAGCTTCAGGGGAGAGCAAAGTTTTAGGCCAACTAGGGTCCCCTTCCCATGGAAGGCCCTACCAAAGTTTATTGGCTTGGGTAGGATTGTTGCTATATTCCGAAAGGACTACAACAGTACCGTTATTGTCCAATAATACTTTAGAAGCTCGCTTATCTTCAGGTTTCCCGCCTTTACGCTTGCCCTTAGCCCCCTTCTTTTTACCAAGTGATCAAGGGAGGGGCCTTTATCTAATCCCTTCCAATTTCCCTACCAAGGTTTAGCTTTTGCTTTTCCGACCTATCTTCTTGCTGCTTATTGTTTAAAGGGATGTCTACCAAGTTCATATCCAAAGCATAATCAATGTTCAATGGCTCAGAGTCCTCATGCCCCTGGACTGGGTTCTGCTCCTTGCTTTCTGTTCCACGGTTGCTCTCTTCCACCAAAATGCCCTCTTTCCTTGATTGCTCAGGTAGCTTAACCAGAGTGTTCATGTGATATTCTTTATTCTGAGATCGAGTAGGGGAGAGAATATTCGTACAGTCTTCTTTCTCAACCTACTCTAGAAAGCTCCAAAACTCCTCCGTTTCTGCTCTTAGTCATGCACCATAGTTTTGTTCAATTTTCTCTCCTTTAGCCTTGTAAACCAATTCACAATTCGATTCAATGTATTCCATACACCACACACACAACAAAATTCTAGAAGCCTCTCGTATTTGATTCAGAGTTTTTGAGTCTCCATCTCTGAAATCTGGGCAGTAATGAATTTGTGAAGTAGTTTTGTTATTTCTAGGGATATCCTTATACGCAAAGCTTTGCTGTAATTGTCATCTACCCCTAGCACCCTTCCAAGATTTGTTCCTAGCATAAACCCAACTGATTTAGTGTGGAACCCTAATGGCAGATCATGGAGGTGAAGCCAAAATGAGTTTGTCATGAAAGTATACTGCTCTAGGGATAGGGTATTGATCAAATCGCCTTAGTATGATTAAGGAATTACTAAAGTTCCAAGTTGCCTTTACTAAGATCTTATCTACATCAAACTTTTTAGAGAATTCAAAAAGGAATAGCTTTTCACTGATTTCACTCACCTTCAAGCTATTCCTAGGATTCCAGGAGGAGATCATGGCATTCTGTAGACTCGTAAGGTTGATTCCTTTTTGAGAAGAATTTTCCCTACCAAGCATAGTTGTTCTTTCGATTTTGGCATCATCTCCCATGCATCTTGAAGGGAAACAACTTCTCCTTCTCCGACCAACTTGTTGCTGATAGCAACCAAACCAGAAATGGAGATTAGAAAGGAAGAATTAGGGATTTGGGAAAAAATTTAGAAGAGAAGCAGAAGGAGGAAGGAAGAAGACAATAGAGAAGAAGAGAGATGTCGAGAGGAAGAGGAAGAACCATTTTCATTATTCATCAAAAAAACTCCTTCCAGTTACATGGACTTGGCCTTTTATAGCCTCTTTACATGCGTACAACCTCTATTAGCCTAGGTGCAACCTTATCACAGCATTATCTAAAATGGCTATGCATCAATGCACTCTCCTTTTGACAACCTTGTCCTCAAGGTTGAGAGGTTGAAATTCAGAACTTATATCAGCTTATATATCCATGTACAACATGTACAACTCTGCCCCAAACAAGCAACATCCATATTTCTTCTATCAAACAGCGCATTAGTAAAATTCCAGCAAATATGTGAAGCATTTCATGAATGCATCTCCTTTCCCCTGCATCATTATCTAACCAAGAGAGAGGTAAATGGCCATAACCGCTTTGCATAACAACCAGACACCTCTTCATTCACACAAGCTGAACTCAGCTTCTTGAATGAAGAACAAACTCCATCAACAAGTAGTTTCATCATTGAGAAATTCAGCAACTCACTCATTCTCAAGCCAGACACATGGAAAAGAACTTTGAAAAATTCCCAAGAACTAAATTGTGAGAAGAAATACTGCTCTAGGAATTGTGATTTCAATGTCAATTGCAGCTTTGAATACATGTTCTCCCTCTTTCAATGGCTTGTCTTTGCTACATTTGCAATACTTAAACCACAGATGTACTCCTACCCCCTTGAAGATGTCCTTGTCCTCAAGGACAGGTGCCACAAAAAACTACAATTTCTTCTTACGATTTCTGAAATTCCATTGAATCTTTCTTGAAATTACTCCAAAGCATTCCACAACTTGTAGCATCTTCTTGCGCTTCTTCTAATCCCACGCCACACGATTGATCAATCCCACACAACCATCAGCATCAAACAACTTGGCTTCCAACGCAGATATACCATCTTCAATCATTTCAGCCAAGTTAACACCCAGAATCCTGTATTTCAATTCCACAGGATGTTCAACATACGATTCAGAATCATTTTCCTCAGGTTCTTGTGTTTTCATTTTTTCTTCTTCAAACACTAGTTCATTTTTCTTACACCTCAAAGAATATAATTCCTCAAGTTTCACCTCATCAATTTCTTTACTTCACCCCAATTGCGTAGTATGGTTTGTAACTTCAAGTTCTTGATCCAAATGAGGTTTTATTTCAAGATCAAAATTTTGGGTAATAGAAACTGGGGTGCGTACCAAGGGCAACTCAATTTCTCCAATTACAGTCATGCCTTCAAGATCAGATACGGAATTAAAAGCACCAGAATCCCTTACATTGCAATCTTGATCATGAATCTGGCCCTGAGTTGTATGAATCTGGGTTTGGGATGTTTGGCCGACTTCCAGTGCCGGTGTGTTCCATCCGTCATTGATTGCTTGTATCATGGCCAACCCATCCCTCAGAACATTCCTTATGGCTGTCCTTAGAGCATTCTCCATGAATGACAACCTCTCCTCCAAATTTGCAAAATCAGCAAAATTCAGAGAACTCTCTTTGTAGTTCTTGAAAATCTGTATCTTCAGCCATGGCTTCTATATTGATGAATCTTGATTCAGGTTTGTAGGGTTTACAGGATAGACAGAGGCGTGAGAAATGGAATTAGGGAATTTTGATGAAATTGGCACCACAGGTCAAGAGGAAAGAAGCTCTGATACCAATTGATAGCAACCAAACCAGAGATGGAGATTAGAAAGGAAGAATTAAGGATTTGGAAAAGAATGTCGAAGAGAAGCAGGAGGAGGAAGGAAGAAGACAATAGAGAAGAAGAGAGAAGTCGAGAGGGAGAGGAAGAACCATTTTCATTATTCATCAAAGAGCTCCTTCGAGTTACATAGTTTTGGCCTTTTATAGCCTCTTTACATGCGTACAACCTCTATTAGCCTAGGTACAACCTTATCCAAGCATTATCTAAAATGGCTATGCATCAATTGCCACCTAGGATGGATTCAAATTCAAACGCCTCATCCTCAAAGGTCGGGATACTTGTTTTTGTTGTTCGCGGCCCACTGCTCTTGCCCTGTTGCAGGCAAGGTTGATTGTCGACTGGTGCTCTTGCCGCCATTAGGAGACCGAGAATCCCTGCAGTATTGACTAGATTCACTGCGTGAGAGGAGTGTGAGAATAGAAGCAACCCCTAAGTGGGAAAGGAGTTCGTTAGGAAGGAGCTCGCCGTCATCTAGTGGAAACCCTAGCAGAGAAAAACCCTAGGCGCGCGAAAGGAATTTTGACGTGGCACTTTTCTTTTAGGATAAATTTGTTATTTAGTTCACTATTTTTAACGTTATACGTTCATTTTAATACCCTTACTTTTTAGTTAAACTAATTTAAACTAATCTCGTTACGAAACCTTTCGAGTACAGGTTAAGATAGAACAGACCAGGACAAAAACAATGGGACAAGACAGGGTTGGATTGGAAAAGATAAACAGAGTCCCATCCTATGTTTGGCACTTCTTTGGATTATTTAAAAAATTAATCTCATATTTAGTTTGGAACTTTGTAGGATTACATGGGATAAGATCTACAAATTATTCATATGGATAAAAATTTCCTTAAGTTCAAAATATTTGAGAACTTTCATTCACTTACCTAAATTTATTGGATAAAATGCCTTTAAAAAATAAAAATATGTTAATTCAAAAAAGTTAATTAACTTCTTTAACTGCCAAAATTATTATATTTATGTAATATATAAATTTATAAATAAGTTACATAAATTGTACATTAAAAATCATAAATTACAAAGGAAAAAATATAAATAAGTCTAATTTATCAAAATAATTCATAAAAAAAATTTAAATAAAAAACTACAATCTTTGCAATTTGAAGAACAAAATGCAAAAAATATATAATGTAAAATGAAAATAATAAAATTTACATTCTAAGGTTTTTAAAACAATAAACATAAATGTTTTATAAAAATGGTGAAAGTTAATTACTAATTCCACCATTAATAATCATTCATATATAGTACCACTCTTTTAAAATAATAAAAGTAATTCAAAACTCCTAATTTCATCACAAGTAATGCAACTTCAACATAATCAATAATCGATAGGGCAGTTAATTAGACATTGTCATATATAAACCATGAATGCAATCAAAGATTTGCGTATAATCATCCTTACCTTTCTTAAATTATAGTTCTATTTTCATTTTTTAAATAAAAAATCAAAACAGAGAAAGTGTAATTCCTACAAACAAATAAACCCAAATAAAATAAATATCCAATTGATAATACTCTATCATGTGCAAAAACAACAAATAAATCCAAATGAAATAAACACATATAATTATTAACCGGGAAACTGGTTTGCAGCCGGTATTGTAAATTTTTGGGCGGAATTAAAACGGCGCCATTTTAATATTAAACACATGTTTTGGGCGGAAATTGTTTTGGGTTCTTTTTTCCCTAGTTTTCTGCACCATCCTCATCTGAACGCTCTGCCTCCCTTTTTTCCTATTTCATCCCCTCCATCAAACATAATCCCTATGATTTATCTTTCTTTATGTGTGATTTTTTTTTCATCTATGATTTCTCTCTTGCATTGTTGAGAGCATTTTGTTATTCTTCTACTCCCTACAACTTCCAGAATCCAAATTCAACAAATACCCACTTGAGTAATCCATCGAATATCATCAAGTTCATCGAAATCCCCAAATTTGTCTTTCCCTCAACACCATTCCCCAATCGACAATCACCCAATCCCACTACCATACCCACAAGATCTTTCTCTTCTCCAACTACATCCTCCTCGGTGCCACGTCCGGTCGCATCTTCTTGATCCTTTCCCTCCGCTTGAATTAGGGAAATCAAAGGATAGCCATCTTTTTGCCGACAACTTCTTCGAAATAGTCTTCAGGCCTCCGGTGAAGTGGTTGAGTGGCTATGGTGTCAGAAAGATGGAAGGAGAATTTGCAAGAAAGGGTTCTAGGATAGAGGGCTTTTGAATGCAGAGTAATAGGGGCAAATCAAAGAAGAAAAGGGGATGAAATGAGACAGGAGAACAAGGAGAAATCAAAGAAGAAAAGGGGATGAATTGAAATAGGGGAACAAGGGCAAATCAAGGGAAAGGGTTTTGTCAAAGATCTGGAGAGTAGGAACAGGGAATGGTTGAAGACGAGAGTCAAAGACTCCTAATTGGAATTTTTATATTGTTAACTTAGAACGGCACCGTTTTGATAATTTATTCCGACAAAAAATTAGGAGGCTCGGCTGAAATACAGTTTTCCCATTATTAACAAAAAGGAAAAATGGCGAAGAAATTAATCAAATAGAGTTAAAAATGGTGAAGAAAATTGAGTTACCTATGGGTAAAGAACCATGGCATCGAAGTGAGGAGCGACCTCCCGGACAAAGCC